GATCAAGATGCTTTTGGTGTGAGATTTTATATTTATTCTTTTTGAAAACCACGTGATCTTTCTTGTTTGCCAGGGCTTTTTGTGTTCTGTTGAGCTATGTTAGATCCGAATAGCTTCTTTATTCATCTTAAATAGGTTGTGTGTTGCCTTCAGTGATGCTTGCTTTGGTTGTGATCTTAAGAGGGAGAGAATATGGAATGAAATGGGTTTTTTGTAATGCTTTTGCATTGTGTAATGTAGAAAGATTTTAATGAGAAGTGTTTTGAGCACCATACTTTGAAGGGAGGCAAGAGAAAGGTTGTCACTTTTACCTTTCTTTTCTTTTATTATTCTCTTTTCCATCCCACTTGTCTGTGAAAGTTGTAGATGGTTTTATTTCAAAGTTACATGATGCTTAATTGCATGAGAACATTTGTTCTAAAGATTGATACGCTTTACTGCAAATTAGAAGACTGAAAGTGCTTGGTGCCTGCATTGTGCACTACAAACCTGACCATTTAAATTTTTTCAGGATTTTATATGCCTGAATATTACAGAATCTAATTTAGTTTTTGCATGTGATCAAATGAATTATAAAGTGCAATTGGAGATGATGTTGCTACTATAGAAGCTCCTTCAGGTGGTGGCATTGAAGGACTCTTCTCCCTTTCCTACCTTTTATGATGGTTAAGACAAATGCATCTGACAATTGCCTTAGACACGTTGAAATTTTCTTTGTATGAGTTTAAGAACAGGTTTCATGATATTCCTGGTTTTTCTTTGTTTGTTACCTTTTTCACATTTCATCTTGGGCAGTTTGTCATGAATTTTCCTCACATGTAGTACTTGAATTGGTGGGTTAATGTGCTTTCATCAGAAGTTTTCTATCATACATATATTTCTTTCAACCCTCATATTCAAAATTGCTTGTGAAATTTAAGGTTGACTCCTTTTACCTGCTTCATGGAGTACCTTGTCGAGCATGGCACTAATCTGTCTACAGCAAGTGAGCTAGGTGCCACAACCTTGCTCTGATCTGCTGGAACATAGGTGCGCACTCTTGCTCTTCCTCATCCTTCCTGGTATATCTGATATCTTTATTCTAGCTCTACATAAAGGGAAATAGTTTGTGCTTGTTAGTGTCCAGTACTCTTTGTTTTGTATTCTAAATGCAAATTCCCCATCTCAAATGCTTGGAGATTTGTATACATAATTGCTTTAGGTATATCCCCCAAAAACACCAAAAGCAGTAACTCTGTGCAGATCTGAATTGGGGCTGCTTCCATGATGGATCCCTCTTCTTTGGCAGTTAGGTTAAACATAAAATAAGATATTAAAATAAAGAGGATATTATTTTGTATTGGCCTGAATGGTTGTTACAGCCATATGAGAATTTCACATGGTTTTGTTATGTCCAAAATCTACCTTATTATAATCTATCCTTTTAGCATCTCCTTCTAACAAGCTCTTCATATGCTGTTTTCAATCATACTATTTCCAATATAATTGAAGGGGTTAACTGTGGAAATAAATGTAAGTTTTTCTTGCTTACTCTTTGTTTTCTTGCAGAAATGATCATGAAATGTTATTGGCACTAGATAAGAACAATCATCAACATGTTGGTGCATCTATTCACCGGATAGATAGTTTACTACAATAAGTAGTGGAGGTACATGTCTGGATAAAGAGAGCAAAACAATCTAAATATACTTCTTTTAAAGTTTCCTCCTTGAGAATAAATATGTGAGTTGGGTGTGTTGATGTATTTGCTAATTATTTCTACTTTCTTAATTTCTTTGTTATGCAGACTGATGATTTTGAAGAAGCTTGTGCTATTTGACTTGAAACCCCGGCGGCTGGAGAAACTACATGCCATCTTTGTTTCCCAAACAAATTTCACAAAAATGTAGCTTCCCTTTTTTATTTTCTTTGTTTTTCTGTACTCATTTTATCATATTAACTAACAAAGATTTGATGTTTTTTTCTGCTGCACGTGACAGTGCATTGATCCATGACTCTTAGTTCTGTTTAGTTGGTGTTAATGTTGTTATTTTAATTCAATTGAACTTAGTTCTATATAAGTTTTCATTTCTCTTCGCCTTTCGTTTGTGAAAGAGTTGGTGCTATGAATAAGTTGGATGAGAATGTGAGCCTGATTCGATAATTGTAAATAATTGGGTCATCCGCTACACCCCGCAACACAGGGTTGTTCAGCTAGTGATTTGGTATGGATGATAATATTTCTTGGAAGTTTTTCAGTTTAATATCTTTGTATACCATTATGTGTTTTTCCTTCGCATGAAAAAATGAATTTGGTCGTGTTTCTGATTCCATTTGTTTAATTTTCAATTATTGTGTAAATTATGGACAAAATTTCTCAACTTGATTGTATAATAAATCTTGCATTTATTGTTGATATGTGATCGATAGGACCCATGAATCGAGTAATTGTTGGATAGCTTTAACATTTAGGGCTCATTTGGGAGTGCTTCTAGGAGCTTTTGCTTCTTTGCTTCTTTTTTTTTGTATTGTTGTTAGTGATAAATTTAAATTTTTATTAGAAAAAAATTTAAAAGTTACTTTTAGAGATAGAAAAAAATGAATAAAAATGAAATTTATGAAAAGCTTGAATTTGAAGTTTTTGAATTTTTACTATTTAATATTTTTTAAAGGTTAAAAAAATTTTAAAATGTAAATTTAAAAAAAAATAAATTTATAAAACATAAATAATATCAAAAAGTTGAAATTTCAATAAACACTCCCAAATGGGCCTTTAGTATTCCTCCTTTACTAATACAATAATAGTTTTATTTCTCCGCAAATATTTGTTCTTGCAATATTAAGATTTATATTTAAAACTCATTGAGGTTGCAAATCACTGATGTTGCAAATCACTGATGTAATTCCTTTATTTTCTAAAACATATATTCCATTTACCAGAAAGACAAAAACATTTGTCTTGCTGGTTGGGTCTCACTCCCCGCAAACAAAAGCGTGTAGCGTAAGGAAAATGGCCCCGACGTCTCGGATACGCCCACGTTAGTCAATATAGTTTTTAGTTTATATAATTTGATCAAAATCTTAATTTGGCGTCTTTACTTTAGTAAAAAAAAATTTTTAGTTTTTTTATTTAAAAAAGTTTTTTTTTTTTATCCTTAAAGTTTTAAATCTGAGTCATTTCTAATCTCTTCATTAAGTTTTACCATTAGATGATTGAAGTTTCAAATGAAAAGATCAAAAAAAAGTTTTTTTTCTAGAGTAGGGAGGTCAATTAAGGTTATTTTTAGTTACTTTTTAGTTTTTTTATCTTTTTATTTTAAAATTTTTGTTATTTAATGTATCACGTATATAAAATTTAATGAAAAAACTAAAAAGAAATTGAATTTTAAACTTTAAAAATAAAAAAAAAATTAAGTAAAAAGATTAAAAAGTGATTTTTTTTACCAAAATAAAAAAGATCAAAATGGAGATTTAACCATTTAGTTTCCTACGTTAATGGCTACAGAAAACGGTAGGCTGGTGCCGGACAGCCCACCTGATGAAGAGAAAAACGAATTCACCAGAAAGAGAGATTGGTCTACGATATTTAATGAGATTGGTCTCTATTTTTGCGACCTTCCTCAGACGATGAGCATCATAGAAGGAAGGCCGTAAATAATATTTTATTTCAGCTTATATGTCGGCTATAGTATTTTATATCTATGTAAAAAATGCATATATAAGATAAAAGATTTGAAGAAAGTAATATTGGAATTTAAAGGTGAATGTCAATTTAAAAAAAAAAATTGCTAAAATAAAAACATTAATCATAAAGAGATTATTACATAATAATAGAGTTTGAGAGATTGAAAGATGCAGAAATAGTGATATATATATATATTTTGAAAATAGGCAATAGGAAATAGTGACTGTTATTATTAGGGAAAGTGTGTGCTGGTAGTTCGGTTGATGTACTTTTTTTTTTTTTTTTCAAGGGTAATGGTTAGGAAGTTAGTATGAGTTAATTGTTAGCAATTGAGATTCTCAGATCGGTGAATATTCCATCCCCTCAAATGAAGCACGCGATTATTAAGTCGTTTTTTGGTGAAATTCACGATGATGGTAGAACTCAAAACCTTGACCAACACTTGATCACCGCCTCACCTAAACCCTAAAGTTTGGGGCGAACCATTGGCCTAACTCCCGGTTCGCGGTTGATGTACTTGTTTGTTTTTTATTAGGATTTCTTTGCTATTTCTAGTAGCATCTTCTGACCCACGTACTTTTCCTTTGTACCGCACGGCTGGGATGTAACATTCAAACTGCGCTGAGAAAAAATGTGATGATAATCTTTATTTATCCATAAGTCTTAATCAAGACTTATGTATAAAAGCTGTAGGATCAATGCGGACAGGGCCTACATAGCTTTAGGGCCAATGCGGACAGGGCCTACATAGCTTTAGGGCCAAT